AACCAGTGTAAAGCCTTATTAAGGGTACCTGTGATACAGGCTCTCAAATTCCAAGGCCATGATGTAGAACACAAGTGAAATTAGAACTGATGTAATTAGTTTTTATTATATCGCGGCCTTTGTGAAATTTCAGAAAACAAGCTTCTCGCCTTTCCACCACTTTGTTCTGCAATGGCTGATGTCGAGGGGTGAAAGACGCGAGAGAGAGAGAGATTATAGGGACGGAATACTTGGCTGTTGTCGATGGTGGCTGTGCAATGGCTGATGTTGGCGAAAGGGCAGACCAAGAGAGGAGATCTGTGCTTCAATTTAGGCTGATCACGAGAATAGGAAGTCCGAACAGCGGCTGTCTTCTTTCCTCACGACTTCAAGTGGTTTTGATTTTTTCATATTGAGAGAAGGAGAGAGATTCGCCCGTGGAGAATATCTAATCCGCCGATGGTGGTGTGCAGAGCCACCGGTGATGGGGAGAGAGAGAGAGAGAGAGAGAGAGAGAGAGAGAGACGGGCTGATTAGATATGCATGACAGGGAGAGGAGGAAAAGGGAAAGAGAAGGGATTTTTATGAGGGTTTTCAAAACGTCATCGCACATAAAGCAATGTCGCTTGGGTGGAGTTTTATTTCCTTATCCTCATTTCCTGTTAACAAAATGATGTCGTTTTGACCTTAAATAAATCAAAACGACGTCGTATTGAAGTACCGTTTTTTTCTCTCCTTTTTTGCTTTAGGGCTTTTGCCGAAGTAAATACTCCCCTTTTTAAGCAAATACTCCTTTTTTTTGTTTCAATAAACAGTTCCGCCACAAAAAAATTAAGTATTTTCTTCAGTAATCAGCCGAAGCAAAAAAATTTGACTCAAAAGCCTAGTTTTTTTTGAGTGATTGTCATTCATATATATATATATATATATATATTTTTTTTTTTTTTTACCTTCATCTATTCTATAATAAAATTATTCATTTATCTTAAAAAAAACTAGAAATGTTTAATCTCTCTAAGTCCTTACTCACCCAAAAACCTTTAACCAAACTATATACTCTCGCTCAACCCTGTAAATGGCTAAGCCCATCCACTACCAAGGTAATGAGAAAAGGTGATAAAGGATTACCCTGCCTTAGACCTCTAGTAGCACTCATCTCTCTTGCGGTCTGCCATTAATCAGCTCCGAAAAATTCAATTACCTTAAGCACCTCTTGACTAAATCCCTCCTCCTACATCTGAAGCTTTTAATTTCCAATACAAACAGTCCCAATTGACATGGTTATGTGCTTTTGCAAAATCAATCTTGAAAAGAACTCATTCTTTTCCATTAGCTTTTTGCAGTCAGCACAATATCAAACATTGGCCTAACTTTAACAAAAGCTCCTTGATGTTTAGAAATGGATTCCCCAATACACCTCTCTCTCTACCTTCGCCAATATCTTATGAAGACTTGTCACCAAACTTATAAGCTTGAAATCATTGATCTTCAAAGATTTTTGCTTTTTTAAAATTGCACAAATAAGTTTTGCATTAATATTAATTTTCACCATTCTTTATTAAAAATTTCCCTAAACTCCTTCATTAAATTGCCCATGACAATATCCCAACATTCTTGGAACACTATCTATGAAAATCCCTTTGGCCTTGGAGACTTCCATTTTGAGTTCAAATGCTGCGTCTCTCACTTCACCTTCTTGAAAAGGTCCTTACACCCAACATGTATTTCTTCTCTACTTGAATTCCAATCAAGACCCAGAATCCTTGGCCTCCCAATATTTTCATCCATATACAAAATTCTCAAAGAGGCTAACTCTCTCTCTCTCTCTCTCTCTCGTGATCCTCTCTTCTTCTAATAGAATCCCATCACCAACTTCCAACTTGTTTATGAAGTTTTTTTTTCTCCTTCCAATTGCTGAACAATTTTGAATTGTTGACCCCATCTTTTAACCACTTAACTTTAGCCTTTTGTTTCCACGTAATTACTTCTTTAAACACCATTTCCTTAATTTTTTTTCTTAGATCAATCATTTCATTTCGTAATTCCTCATTGAATCTTGCCACATTCTATTATATTGAACTGCTCGATGTGGTTCAAAATTTTATTCTTCTGAACCCTAATATCACCAAAAGCCTCCCTATTCCACACTTTCAGTTTTTTTTCATACTTTACAATTTCTTCATATATTTAAAACCCTATCAGCCTTGCACTAGACTATTTTGCTACCAAGACTTAAACCTTCCTCTATACAAATGATGTTCCAACCACATATCTTCAAATCTAAATGGCATTGGACTCCACATAAAGGAACTTGAATCTAACACTATTGGAGAATGATCTAATACTACCTGAATTAAAGATTCTTGCCTCGCATTAGGAGAGCAATCCTCCCACCCCAAAGAAAATTGGAATCTATCCAACCTATGACACAGACATACCAACCTCACTCTAAAATTTGACCAAGTTAATTGCGTTATTCAAAAGGGGATTTCCTAGATTAGTTTCCCTAAGGAACTCATTAAAATCTATCATACTTGTTTTTCCAACCCATTTAACTTTTCGGATGCATAACTAACAACATTGAAGTCACCTCCTTGACACCAACTATGGCCACAAAAATCACACAACCCAGTTAACTCCTCCCAAAAGTTGCTCCTAAGATGGGTATTAGGCCAATAAACTCTTGATGATCACCATGTTCCCCCCATCTTTCATCCTAAAGTGAACAGAAACAGTAAGCTCCCCTAACACCGACTCTACAACAGACACCTATCTAGCATCCCACATGATAACTATACCCCTAGCTTTTCACAAGGAAAAAATACCCACTCCTTGAAACTACCCACCCTTTACCCCACCAACCACCAAACCCTACATTACCAATTCTAACCTTATTACTTTCAAAATGGATCCTACATTTCAAATTGTTTAGTTTCATAATCCCTTTCCTATTATTAGCTTTTTTCCCTTTTGCAGTTCCCTCCCTTACCTTTAATTGACACTTTTTTTTTTTTTGGGAGGTGAGGGACTTGAACCCTTGATTTCAAGAAGATAATCTTTGTAAGGTAAAGAGTACCATTGGACTAAAGGCATATTGGTCATTTAACTGACACTAGCTACAGGTTCATGGAAGCCAAAAAGGCTCTTAATCTACCCCACTCCTTTTCATCAACAAATAATCCTCTCTAAAACCCCTAGAATTGGAACCACTCAAAAGAGAATCTAAACCCCTTGATGGGGTTCAAAAAGGAATCAGGTAAGGTTGAATTCAAGAATTTGATTTTAATATTCATTTTAGTATTATTATATTGTTAACAGAAAGTTAAAATACAAATAATGAAATATTAGGGTTTATATTTAGGAGAGAGAAAAGAAAGAGAAGAGAGAGGGATTGAGAAAAAAAATGTGTGAGCTGATGGTGCTCTACACCTTATTTGTAGCATATGAGTAATCTACAATATTACCCAACACGATTAACAATAACTAGGAACTCTAATACTCTCCCTCAAGATGGAGTCGATGATCAAAATTTTGTTTTAAAATGATTGAAACATCTGAAATGTTTTCGTTTTCAAGGAGACTGAAACGAATCAGTGATGGAATTGAAATTCTAATATTTCAATGTATTCTATAATGTTTTGAGATATTTTGTAATGTTTTAATGCATTTACATAATTGTTTCGAAATATTTTAAAGTATTTCAAGATACTTTGGTATATTTCGACCAATGTTTGAAAAAATAATTCTTAAATGTGTGAGAATATTAAATATTATCCTTTTTACACAGTATCAATTATCAGAATTATCTGTGATGAGAAATTTTCTCTAGAGTCATGTATTCCTAGTAAAGAAAGAGACTAGAAGCTTTCTGGTGACTTAAATTAGTCGATGTATATTTTTCATGCTTTTTTGGTCAAAATTCCATCAGTTTTCAAAATATAATATTTTAGTTTTGTGATGATGATACATATTGGAGCATCTCCTCTGCAAGTTTTATCCTTTCGAATTGAAGTCTACTGCCCCCATTTTGTTCATCATTTTAATTTCTTGTTGGATTAGTTACTGTGCTTTCTTAAAATAGTTACACAAGGATGGCACACTTGCACTCACTCAGGACCATTTGGACATGTTTCTGGATTATTTCCTATCCCTTCTCATTCTTTGCCTGCATACTCCTGATTAAAGTGGAGGCAGAGTGAAAGCATTTTGTGAAATCTCAGAATGTGGTTTCTCTCATTTTTCAACAGAATCTAGCTTGACCCCTCCTCTTCTGCTTATTTCATTGATTATCTTTTTGTCTCATCTTGTCAATTCTTATTTGTTATGTGTGACTGGTTGTTAGTGTTCTCTCATCTTTAGCTGGAAGATGCTAACAAATCTAATTCTATTTCCTATTCTTTTGTCTTTTAATGCTACAGTGAACATAGCAAAAGCAACTCAAGTCTAATAATCTCTTGTCATGTTACTTGAAAGCAGGGTACATTTCTTTTGTTTCGTAGTTCATTCTCAGTGTCCTTATTTGCTTCTTCACTCGACCAGTAAATGGAATAGGCAGGAATTCCTTCTAACTCTTGGTTTGATCATTCACAATGTCTCTTTTCCAATTATGGGGGTGGAATTCCCTCCTTTTCTTTTTCTTCCTTAATCCTGGGGAGAGCACAATTTAGTTGGCAAAGTATTAACCATATAACTAATGCATATGTGTTGTGCAGGCATGTTTCTTACTTGACCAGTAAATGGAATAGGCATGAATTCCTTTTCTCTTGTTGTTTTGTTCTTATTAGAAAGTGTTTGTTTAATGTATTCAAGCTTATCAATTCGCATATATATGGCCTAGATCTAGTTGTTTATTTGTTTCTTTATTTATCTATTTATTTATTTTCGCTATTTGCTTGGGTCTTGTCTTTATCTTTGTTTCCTCTTTCCTTCCCTGGGGTCTCTTCAACAAATAACATTTTACACTTTTAACATTTTGAGGTTTATGGCCCATGAACTATGACAAGTGCACCTTATTGTTGCTGATGGACGTGCCTCAATATTGGCCAGTGTGCTCATATGTTGGTTCGAACTAATCTGAAACATACATTTGGTTTAGGCCTATGTTTAGCCGTATGGGCATGGATAATTTACTATATTCCATGGCAGGAAGCAGTTTTTAGCATGAGATGTCTTCTGAATTTGTGATATGTAATTGAATTGTCATTCATGCAGACATTTTTATCATGAATGCCTTTTGTCAATATGCAGTCACAGCATTGAGAAGATAGCCTGGGATGCCTCCGGAGAGCGTTTGGCTTTATCTTACAAAGACGGGGATGACATGTACCAGGGTCTTATTGCTGTATATGATGTTAAAAGGACTCCCCTGATTTCAGCATCATTAATGTGCGTTATTTTGCTGTAGATTTTTTAGGATTGAATAACTAGCATCCAATTATTTTGGTTTTTTTGTGGATTTTTTTAAACTGAATAACTAGCAGCCTATTTCTTTTCTTTTCTTGTTTTTTTTGCTGTTGCTTGTGACTAGTGCGTTTCTTTGTTTTTTTGTTGAGATGGTGAGTGTTGGACATTTCATATTTAGTACCTCCATATTTTTACAGATTTATTGGATCGTAGCCTCAGCTGATTTTTGACCTATAGTTTGCTGCTATGTTAATTCAGTGGGTTCATTAGGGGTCCTGGAGACCATCCGAAGCCAATAGCATTTTCATTTCATGACAAGTTCAAACAAGGACCATTGCTGTCTGTGGTAACTCCTGCAGCATTTTTCATTTTACACGCATTGCATGTCCTTTGCAAATTATTGTTGTACTTTGTGGTATGAGCTCAATGATCACTGACATACATGCACACCGACAAGCAATGGACTATACAAGGGCATAACTTATATCTATCTGTGTACACCTCAGGTGTGGGATATAAAGTATCAAGAATATCATATTGATTGATGTGTTCTGGATTTACATCTGATTGCAAAGACCTAGTTCATTGGTATGGCTTGTACTGATTATTTGTGCAGCATAACTGACATGTTTTGGTTAACTTGACTTTTATGCAGTGTTGGAGCAGTGGATTTTGCTGTACTTATCCCCTGATATTTCGTGCGAATGGTCTTACCTAGTCAAGGTACTTGTTTTGCTCTGCTTTCTATAATATGCCGATGCCATATCTCATGAATCGTACCCAGTATTCATAAATTCCAAATGTCCAAAAGAATGTTGATACTGTGCTTCAAAACAGTTGGAGTAGCTGTGATTTTGATTAATACCAACTCTAACAGAATCAACCCGCATATGGTCTGAAGCTGATCATTTGGCAGGTCAACTTATGTATACTGTTCTCAAAAGCTAATGAGTGTATCCTTCACTGCTGTAAGATCCTAAAGCAAGGGAAGTGTAAATGATGGTATGGTGTATTTTAGGAGGTACGCTACGAAACAGAGTCTCTTATTCGACGCATAAATAAAAGATTGCTCTTACTCCCACCCTCTATTCTAGGTTGATTGATCTGCTTCACAGGTATATTTTGCGTAGTTGCGGAGGAAAAAAATGTTCATGTAGTCTATTGGATTTTGCCTGTAGTTCTTTTTTTATTTAACCAATTTGGACTTCAGACTGGCAGTCAGACAACATCTGTATACTATGGCAAAAATTTTGCTCTTGAACTTATGTATCATTAATCTCTCTTAAATATATGCATTTTGACAGTTTGAACAGTTCTGAATTCATCTATATATCAAAAGCTGGGTATGTACTTTATTGTTGTAAGAAATATGGGAGCCATAATTGTCGATATAAACTTGAAATGTTGCACGATGGACAGTTGGCTTGTATAGCCACAATGATCTTCTGTAGCAATCTTTCGGGTTCTCATTTCAATAATTATATTCTTTACTTCTCTGGGATGGTTATCTCTATATTTAGTGGTAAATATTGGACTTGGAACAGTAGTGAATGCTCATCCGCCCAAGCAACTCCTCTTGGGTTGGGTCAGGGAATTAGTCTCTCTCAAATAGGAAAATGTTGTCTATTGTTTGTCTCTTCTATATTCCATTACAGATGGCAGTTTTGTGCACTCTATTTATAATTCATGGTTGGTAGAAGGTAAGTCCATTGTGTTATACAGGAATGTGTGGGCCATTAATGACCATCGTTCTACGATTGGTTGGAAAAAATTACAGAAAATTAGTGGAAATTATAATCTAGAGAGTGAATTTAGATTTTGTAGCTAAGGCCAGAGTCAACTTTATTGGTGGCTAGAAGTTTTACAGAATGTTGCGTTCTTTCATCATTGTTTCTTCATGGACAGCGTCAATGATGTGTGCAATGGCGTTGAAGTATCATATTGTGGTGTCTATCTCAGCAAATGTTTTCGTGCTTAAACCTGCTTTTTTCTTGTACAACTGACGACCAACAATAGAAATCTGGATTGAGGGTTGGAAAAAGCATTCTATGGAGAGAGAGAGAGAGAGAGAGAGAGAGAGAGAGAGAGAGAGAGATTGGAATCCCAACGATATTGTGCGTCCACTTGCAGTGCGGTATGGCAGCTCCTTGTTGTGCCAACCCCACTACCTCCAGGGCCAAAGTCAGTGGTGAGTCGAGAAGATCAGGATGGGTTGTTGAACCTCTGTTTTTCACGGATCTTTATAAAAACCCGCCACCTCATGTGCCAAAGTACTATGACAGGTTCTCGACCATCTGTTTCTCATGTCGGAGGTTTAACTTAGCATAATGAGTAAGCCATTAAACATCCTTTTTTGTGATTTTCAAAGAATGAAAAGATAACTTTATGGGCTTGTTTAGATGTATTTTTGAGAGGGTTTGTATTGGTTGCTTTAAACCCTTTCAAACTCAAGCCCCTCTTTACAATGATGAGATTTAACATTAAATCTGATTCATATTTGTGTTTGATATGTAATACATACACATGTAGGATCCATGAATATATCATAATTATTAACAACTATTTGTTCTGTAATTAACTATTTTGCTATTGATTAATTCAATTCATGTTTATGTTAAGAGGTATAATTATCTTTTGCATTCTTTAACTCTTTAACCTATCTTTCCAAATCTACCCATTTCTTAGGTTTGACGAAACCTATGATCATGAGTTTAATATTCGGGTTAACTATAGGCTGAGTTTGAAAACTCAGGATTGAATGTTCAATCCAAATATGGGATTTGAGGATTCTTTAAATTATTTTCCCCAAACCCATCTTTCCATCCTCCTCGTAGCCCTTTACCAAACAGTTCTTGTCCATAGATTTTCCAAACTTGCTTGGCGCATGTGTTTTAAGATGTTTGTGTACTTCTTTGGTTCATATATAGAAGTGTACAAATATTGTTCCATTCTTCTAAGGAATTTTAATAGCTTTTGCCTTTTTATATAAATAATTGAATATTAGAACTAGGGCATTTGTTTTGCACTTTCACAGATAAGAGTAACCACTCAACCCAGACACTACTCAAGCCGCTCTTGGCATACTACTTGTTGGAAATTTTGGTTCAACCCTACGGACCAACAAAAGGGTGGATTGTGTTAATCTAAGATATTTCATTACTGTTTGGTTGGCGCATGTGTTCTTGCATAAGACTACTTTGTGCATCATCAGTTTGGCATTGTTTGTAAGAAACGACTGAGTTTTCTACTACCTTACTACTCTCTTTTGAATACATGGCAAGAACGACCAAGTCGATGAGTCAACAGTCGGAGGATAACAACTTGGCCCGAAGGGAGGAGGCTCCGCCTCTGCACGCACCAGCGAAACCATCCACTACAGCCACTTCCGTGGCCGGACAACAACTCTTAGAGACTATGAAATTGTTGGCAAGCCAAAATCAGCAAATTCTCTAGCTAATGCTCATCTCGGGAGGAGTCGCTCTTCAGCCTATGGGAGCAGTACTCCCCCCAATTGGAGAGGTGCCACAGTTTCACCAATTTGGGCGCTAAGGCGCCCATCGTGGGGCCCAATACCAAAGCTCCCCAGGGTAGCGCTAGGGCGCTCCTCGCCTAGGAGTCCCTCCTCAGCACGCAGGAAGCTCACGTGTTCTCCCTCTTTATGTACCTGCGCAAGAGGATGAGGGAGAAAGCCAGTATGCTAATCATTAAAGCTACTACAATGATCCAATGAAATATGTCCCTAACCAATGGGATGAGAAGATTAAGCAGCTACAAACCCAGCTTGGCAATGCCCTCAATGGCATCAAAGCACAGACGACTGTAGACTACTTGATAAGGCATACTGACACTCCATTTTTTGTGGCAGATGTTGTCAACTATCATTTACCCTCAAAGATCAAGATGTCTGCCATTTAGATCTTTGATGGCACAAAAGATCCCCCGACTATTTCGACGCATATAAATCTCTCATGCAACTCCACAACGTGCCTAATGAAATTATGCGTAGAGCCTTCCCTACCACCCTTAAAAGATCCGCACGACAATAATTTGCGAAGATTAAGCCTTCTTCCATCCATTCCTTTGCGGAATTAAGCAAATCTTTTGTCTCCCACTTCACTAGGGGACACCGACACTAGAAGTAGGTAACCCACCTACACACCATCAAGCAGGACCAGGAAAAAAGCCTTAGTAGCTACTTCACTAGTTTTAACGAGGAGGCTCTCCAGATCGAAGAGCCAAACGACAAGGTAACCATGACCACCTTTATTGCAGGTTTGTGCCCCTCCAGCTTCATGCTCTCTGTCCTAAAGAAGTTGTCCTTCAATATTCCCAAACTGTTATCAGGGGCATGGAAGTATATGAATGTCGAGGATGTCAGCAAAGCCCGGCAAGGTGAGTCCATCGGGAGTGAGAAAAGAAAGGATACTTGTGAAGATAGGAGAGAAGTAGAGAATAAGAAGAATAAGATAGAGAGAGTCTCTATCAAGGATCGTCTTGGTCTCCTAACTCTAAGAGAGCGGCAAGCCTTTAAGCTGCTCAACGCATCGATTGAGCATATCCTACCCCAAATCCAGGATGAGGCCGAAAAAAATGAAGTCTACCCCGAATCGTAGAAACCTGAACAAGTACTGTTGTTTTCATCGCAACTATGGCCACGACACTGATGGCTGTTATGAGCTCAAGAGGTAGATCGATGAGCTCATACAACGTTGCCAGTTAAGGCAGTATGTTGTTGGCAGAGGACAAACCCTGCCACCTGGCAGGGACCAGGATGGCAGAGAACGCCAACAACCCCTCGAAGAAATTCAGACGATTTTCGAAGGGCTAGAAGGAGGAGGCGAATCCAACTCCCCCAGGAAAACCCATACCAGGAAAGCCAGATGGGTAGAGTCACTTGACTCTCGCCCAACAAAAACACCCTGACATGGGAGAAGAAGAGATCATCACCTTATCAGATAGGGATCTCGAGCGAATCCAACTCTCTCACGATGATCCCTTTGTCTTAGCCATGATGGTAGCCAACTACCAAGTTAAGAGAATTCTGGTCAATAGCGACAATTCAGCCGATATTCTGTTCATACCAGCCTATGACAGCCTCCATCTTAGCAGGGAGAGATTGCAACCCATCAAGACAACCATTATAGGATTCTCAAGGGAGAGGGTTTATCCATTGGGTTCCATCCTGTCAGTCACCGCATGGACAACGCCAAGAAGCTCCACTATCATGGTGAACTTCATTTTACTGGACTATCCCGCTGCCTACAACATCATACTTGGACGCCCCCCACTCAACACCCTAAGGGTAGTGCCGTTCGCCTATCACATCGTTCTTTGTTTTCCAACCCTCTATGGCATCAAAGAAGTCAGAGGAAACCAAGTCGTCGCCAGAGAATGTACGTGACCTCTATGAGGACCAAGAAACCCCAAGAGACCCTCTGAGTGGAAGTGCTTGATCCTAAGGATGACAGCACACTGAATGCAGGAAAGTCTTAGCCTATCTATGGGACGCCGAACACATGAAGAGGCATTATCAATTGCGGGTACAAGCTGGTGGATCTCATTTTATTCGTCGTTTATTGTTTTAGTTGATTTACTTTCTTATCTATTATTTTATGAAAAAAAAACTTTGCCAAGATTATTGTGTCTAGAACTGTCTTGCTTTTATTTCATAAAGATTGTAAACAACTTACAACAATCAGAACATGATCTAACAACAAGGTAGACATAAAGATAAAAGTCGTTATACTCCTGACGATCTCTCACTACTCTCGAGCCACTCTCATTAAGGCTCTCCCCACCACTATCTATCCATGATGCCTTATACAGGACGCCAAAGAAATCAATAGCAGTGAAAACTGTCAAGCTCTTCATAACCATCAATAAAGGCGCCTACAATGGCCCTCTCAGTAGCCTTCCTCCTCATCTCCATCTCAATGGAATGAGCCTCTGTCACAGTAGCCCTCTCCCAAGCTATACGTAACTCAGCCTCAGCTCTTACGACCCTCTCGAAGGACGCTAACAGCTCTGACTCTGCTTTCGTGTAGACAGTCACACCTTATCAATCTCCAGCTTTGCGTTCTCTCGCGAGTCACCAAAAAGCTCGGGCTAATCCTATCTCAAGCAGTTTATGTCTCCAACTTCGCGCTCTCTTGTGAGTCACCAAAAAGCTCGGCCTAATCCTATCTTTTCTCTCAAGTAGCCTCAATCTCCATCTTAGTGCCTCTCTCACGAGCCACTACTACAAGCAGGGTAACTATGTGGAGATATAGTCCCCATAGAAGACCGCACTGGAGTCTCAACTCCTATAGTGGTACAATGGATAACTTTGGTACACACAGGAGTCACAGTCTAGAAAGGATGGGGGCATCACCGGATCCCACTCCCAAGAAGCAACCTGGTCATCAGACGTTGGCTGAAAAGAACTAGGGGATCAAACCTCGCCCTCTGGGGAGGAGGGGAAGATGCCACCTTGGAAGCGTAGAGAGTTTCCACCATTATTCTATCAATAGAGGTACCTGCAGACTTGATGTGAGACAAAAATTTTACAACGCCAAAACCATCAAAAGTCTATGGGAAGGATCAGATACCTTTCCTCTTTGGCCTATAAAAAACCTTGGGATGACCTGATGCAAACATAATCTCTGAGAATTCCTTGAAAGGATGGTCACGAACTATCTGGAGCCTATTCTCTTGTTTCGTAGATAATGTGGGTGAAACTACATAAAAACCAGTCACACAACGAGAACAAGTATGTGATGACTAGAAGTAAAAATGAAAGTGGAATTCTTACCTAGCTTGGTCCTCGGGATGGTGTCCCGCCTCAAAGGCACAAGGTCACGGTCACCCTCGGTGGCCCATTCTCCTCCAACAAAGAAGAACTTAGACTTCCAGCTATGACAGGTCGAATGAAGTAACATGATGAAATTTTTCGACCTCGAGGCAAAATGACACCACCCTTGATAAGGAAAGGGGTTATCCAGAAACACATTTGTAGCCAAAAACTCCTAAAATGGAGGAGGAATATTAGCGCTTTGAATCAATTGCCGTAATGAGAAGAATGCTAGTATCACCCTCCACCCGTTAGGAGCCAACCTCCCAGAAGCTAGTGACAGATGTCCTAGGACCTAACATATGGGCCTAGGTATCGAAAACCTCAAACCTGCCTCTAAGGCATCCTCATAAAGAACAATCTCACCCGACGAGTTACAACATGTTGGCTTATCCTCCTCCACTCGACGACACATGACAACAGGAGGGATACGATACAAGAGATATTCTCATCGCAGTCAATGGAGCAAAAATTGGAAGTTACCTTTGAGCCGTTATCTCCAGCAGTCCCTTTGCTTTGCTCGATGTCTTAAGTAGCCTCCCCCACGGAGTCCTTGTCAAAGTGGGCGCTTGTCAACAAATAGAGCTAAGACAGAATAAAAGTCAATGTCAAGGGAATACTAGTGTTTGTTGGGCTTTTGCGGAGTCTGGTTGTGTTTGATCTGGATGATGACCCGATCCGAAATAATGTGACATGACTTTTAATAGGAGATTTTTTTAGGCTTAGTCCATAAGCACTACGGCTTGGGCCAAATTTTTTTTTGAAGAACATCTTACCCGATTGAAGAACATCTGCTCGTTGCTTTCTGATGCCTAATAACTGCCCAAAATCCAGCTCAGTCACAACGCCATGGGCGTCGCCTAGACCTGGTCCAACACCTTTTTTCCCTTGTTGACAGACACCATTGTTATCGACAGACTTACCTGTACGCTTACTAGCATTGCCCAGCATGCCCAAGTCAATGCCCAGCATCAGGCAGCACCAACCAACGCCCAAACTGGTGTCGCCCAAGCCAGCGCTCAGGTTGGCGTTTCCCAGGACGGCGCCCAGCTAGCATAAGTCCACCTTATTGTCGCCCATACCTTTTCTCCTTTCGACGTCACCTTAAAGCCCAGCAAGGGTGCTGCCCATGCCTTGTCTGCCTTCGGCGTTGTAATAAAGCACTCCAGGCGCGCCTCTAATGTTTCTTCTCCCTTTGGTATCGCCCCTTACCTTTGTGGCCTCAACGTCGCCAATGCGTGGAACATCCCTATTTTGGCGCTACGGGTGACATCGCCCACAGAAACTGACATCATCGCCTCATGCCTGCCATGGGCGCTGTCCTCATTCAGGTAACCCAGGCTGTCGTCGGCGCCATCTGGATCTCTTTCAACACCTTCGCCAAATGCATTGAAGGCATCACCCAAACCCTCTATCGTGCCAGAAGAATTGCTAAAACCAGTTGTTAAGGCGTCGCCAAACCCATGAAAGGTGTCCCCACCAGCACCCATGGCGTTGCCACTCTTGAGACTAGCGCCTTCAACCATTGCATCGTACCTCATGCCATGGGCGCCGCCTCTCACTATGTTGCCAATAGCGCCATGGGCGCTGCCTTTACTCTCTACTTTGACAATACCGCCTAGCTGAGCTGCTCTGCTTGCCACTGCTCTGTATCCCTCGCCATGGGCATCAGCGTTACCTTACCTGCTACCAATCAACATGTCGCGCCAGGCGTCGACGCCATCCAGGGCATCGCCCCTCTGCCCAAGGTGTCGGCTCTGCCCAAGCGGCTCCTCTACCTAAGGCACTTCCTCTGTCCAAGGCCCCGCCTCTACGTACTTGGCATCGCCCTTCCTCACTAGACCATCACTACCTAGTTTCTCCTTCAATTTCCTTCTGGTCTCCATGGCTTACTTCACACTCTGTAATCAAATGAGGGGAAAATTAAACCCAATCCAGAAAATGGTAAAAGATGAATAGCCACAAGATCTATGCATGCCTACCTTTGAAAGCCCTAGAAGGACGATTCCTTATTGCAAGAAGGGAACTTCGGTATGAACAAGAGGAGCTTGGTTGAGAGCCCAGTAAAAAAGATGTTGATAAATACAACATGTGACTAGCAATGGAGTTTGTTAAGTAAAGAAGAAAATTTTACAAAACATAGAAATGAGAAACAAAAGAGCCTACCATCAGGAACAAGAAACCCTTATTTAGAGGCTCACTCATGCCCTCAATCTCCTTGAGACCACAAGGACTTGGGGCATGGGGGTAAATGACGAGTCCAACTTTAGCTGGGTTAAACCCAGTTAATTAAGTAGGCTTAGATCAGCTGAAAGGATCAGTTAATCCCATCTCATGAAGTCAACCCAGGGCCCACAGAGTCCAGGAAGATTAGAGCATGTGGGAAGTAATCATCGGAATACCCACTCTCAAAAATTAAGGTAATCTTTAATTATACTTACCTTTTGTAGCTATCCTCTCCAAAGGATTAGTATATTTACCCTCATATCACCACCTCACCTAAAGGCTCTGTACCTATAAATTGTAAGCTCTCTCCATTGAGAAGAACATCTCTACACCTCTCTACACATCTCCCACATTACTTTTTTTCTCTCCTAGCTATTATATCCTTTTTGGAGCTAACCATTGCTATCTCTCTCTCCCATTCACCTTATTTCATTAATAAAGATTCTCTGGCCACCGTTGTCATTTTTCAAACAGGAGTATGTCGCCCGAACCGAACCACTAAATATCTACGTGTTGAACCAATATTTACCTTTATGTCATTGGTTGCTTATTAATTTTTTCATTAATTTCCTGCATCATTCACTCGACTGTTGATCTTGGATAAGACTATTTTGTGCATTATCAATGAGGACAATCACGAGCAGTATGACCAAATTCATAACAGATTTGGCATTGTATAGGAAAAGGATATTGATGATGAGGAGAGGAGGATGAGTGGGCACAAAGAATGGAATTGCCATGACCCATGAGGCCAAAATTATGTGGGTGGGGTGCATACTATTGGTGGCGTGCATAGGCGAATAGGACTGTCGAGATTGGTGGTATGAATTTAACCTGCCTCGACCTATGACGATTTTAAATCATTGATCATGACGATTGGGAGACTGTTGCGAAGAACCATTGGCCATGGTGGCCACAACCAGAACCACCGCGGTTGTTGGAAGGAATTCGATTAGCAACGTAAGTTGTGGCATTAGTGATGGAGGAGTTGATGGTCGCTTGTTGAATCCTGCTTTCTTGAATGAAGAGAAGAGAACAAGCCTCGGCAAATTAGGGAAAAGGAAATTGGGTTAAAATTGCAATGGTAGAACTTTCATACTCAAAGGGAAGTCCGGTTAAAGCTTTAATGACGAGGTCGGTGTCAAAAATGGGATTTTCAATAAAAGCAAGAGAGTCAGCCAAGGATTTCAATTATTTAAGATAAATTGCCATTGATTTATCACCCTTGGAGTGATTGTGAAACTCCATTTTAAGTTTAAGGACACGGGAGCTGACTTGATCATGAAAGAGTTGCTCAATGGTTGGCCAAGCTTCATGGGCTATTTGAGTGTGATTTCAATGAATGATAACATGCAGAATATCAAGAGAGACAGTAGTTTGGATCCATGATAGTACAATGTAATCACTCTGCATCCAAATTTTATAAGAAGGATTGGGAATTGGACTACCAAAGTCGTCATTGATCATTGGAGGAGGGGAGACAGAAGAACCATCGGCATGATCATAAACATCATGATCTTTAAGAATAGGAAGGAATATTTCACGTCACAAGAGATAGTTGGAGAAATCAAGGGTAACAGATATATAGGTTTTGATATTCGATATTCCAAGATTGTATGAGAAATAATAGGTGAAGCAGAATGCGAAGGCACTGTGGTAGAAACTATGGCAGATGATGAATCATAAGGTGAAGCCATTTGAAGGAGAAGGATTGCAAAAAAAAAAATGTGCTGGAGGAAAAAAATTGTTAAGCTATAGAGGCTCTGATACCATAAAAAGGATAATAAACCCACACATTTGTCATTGTATTGATCATTTATACATTTAGAGGTTGCATGTGGTAAGGATTACAAGAGTCAATGACATAACTTACAAGAGATAATATAATGACTATCTTTTACAAATGTTCTTATTGAGGGTCACAAGTATAATAAAACCCAAAAGGTTAAATTACATTTTTGTTTTCTTCAACTATTGATGGAGTAGATTAATGTGGATGAACAGTGTTGGTGTAATTATGCTTAACAAGTTGGGTCTAAGTTTCTAGGCTTGTGAGGACCATGATAGAGAACATTCAGGGGGGGAACTACACAATAAAGATATAGTGGTTCACCAGTTTGGGAGCTCGGCTAGTCCACTCTTTAATGGAGTCTCTTGTTCCTCTCTTTTTATTCATGGAGAATGGAACCTATATTAGCATGCCACTTCTATTTTTGTGCTCTTGCCTCATCTTGGAGGCATCTTACAATATTTATAGAGCTGTTCCTTGATCTATAGGATCCCTGTCGAGATCCTAGTCTTTCACCCTTGGATTACTCCTTGATTTTTGGAGAGTACCTCGGTTGGTTGAAGGTTTTTCGCCTTGGATACGATTCTCTACTGCTTATAGGGTTCCAGCTAGCCTCCAGCTGTTCCCTTATCATTCTCGTTATTGTTTCATTTGAGGGGGAGCTTACCTAAAGCAAATCTCCACATGCAGACCTCGATTTGTGCACGAACAGGTTTTTGACGGTTACCTATAATCATGTTGTTCCTCGTTTCACATGTGTGTTGCCCACTTCAAAAACTGCTTACACCATTAACTTTACATGTCTTTGAATCAACGGTTCCCCTTTCAAATTCTTTTTGGCTCTTCTTCTTCATTTCTCCATGACTTTATCTTCCCCAATTTGCTGTCATTCTTAGGGTTTCACAGAAAATCGGTTTATCTTGAATCAGCTCGTGGCTTTAACGAAGTTCGCTCCTCGCCTTCAATTCGAGCTTTGGCCCATTGTTCACCCTTATTTAGGTACGCTTCTTGCCTTTAATTCATCTCCTCGTTCTGGATCCCTCAAGCCTGAGGTGGTTTCTACATTTTTGAACTTTTCTATTGTAAAACTCGGTAAATTTAAACTTTTTACAAAAAAGGCAAAACGATAAATTGCTACTACAATACAGGTTAAATTAAAAACCTGAATTTTTTTAGATTATGGATAATAAAACGGACCTCACCGTTGAATTCGTCTCGCGAAATCTAGTTATCACGTCAAATTTCATCGAATTCTGAAATAGTCAAATTTTTTGCATTTTACGAGGCGATCGAGTATTGGGTGACCCAAAAACAGAATTTTTAATAAAATTTTGAAAGTTAAAAAATAATTTCAAGAAAATTAAAATAAAAATAATTTAAATTTGAACCGAAATAAAATTTAATCATTTTTGGACGAAAACGGACCCCAAAAAAAAAGGGTCGTGTGGCGCGTTGTGGGCCAAGTAAATAAAGGGTATAAATAGGAGGAAAAATTTTATTTTCCCCCATTTGTTCAGCCGGTTAGCCGATAGAGAGAAAGAGAGGGAAAGAGTTGAATCCTCCACCTTCTCTCTACGATCTAGGAAGCTACAAAGCTCAAATCCACATGGGCCAAGAATTAAAGTTGCTCTTCTCGCCAAGAGCTACGTGACCACACCAAAAATGACGGGTTTTACTAAAGATCAAGGTACGAAATTTTTAAAATTTGGAATTTGGGCTAGAAGTGGGTTCTAGGGACTTCCTACGTGTTCTTCAAGCTTCAAGAGGTAGGGTTTCTCCTACTTTGATTCACTTTCTTACCTAGGGTGTATTTGGAATAGGGTAAGGGTATGGAATAAACTAGGTCATTGACTATGGGTATGAAAATGAGAATGGGTTTGAAATTTGGCCTAGAACAATTCCTAGTTATGTTGGCATAGGAAATTACTGGTGTGATTTCCTTGAAATTTGAGATTTTGGGCATGTTATATGTTTTATATATGCTTTGTGAATGAGGTGAAAATTCTTGTGTGATAACATGAATTTGTTGCCTTGAAGGTGTTTGCCAGAATGCCTATGTGTGAATCAAGTTGTTATGACATAATGATGCATAACATGCTTAGAAAATGTGTTGGAAATAAATGTTAATATGTGCTTATTGAACTATTAACATTGAAATAATTTATGGAATTTATATGCTTATGATATAAATTACCATGAAACATGTAAACATGTGGTATAAATTGCTCAATTAGCACTCATTACACATAGAACATAATATGAATATTGCAATGGTGCACTACATTGCATTTGCACGGAGACATCGCATATTGAGGGTGGGTGTGCATGGTTGTTGTTTTCACCTCATTTGGTGTATGACGAGTGGACTTGAAAATGTTGGATCGATGATTCGACTTAGTCACACGATTTTATGGAAGATTGGGTCGGGGTTAGCAAGAATGGCTAGAATATCCCTCGGGTGAAAGGCCCAGTGAATGAATTCGCACTCCGTTGGTATAAGAGCTCAAAAAGTGTGTCGGTGTACGTAAAATCGTTGGTGGTAGTCCACAAATTTCGTGTCGGCTGGGTGCCGTTGGTGTACGTCCATGAATACCCACCCTAAGAAAGACCCTGATTTTGAGAATGTCATTTGATGTGCAACATAGATGATGGTTTAAATTACACATTGGCACTGCATTGTGTTTGTGAGAGTTGGTGAAGACTTGGGGTAAAGTGCATGAGTGAGTATCATTTCATTCATGGCATGACATGATAAATTCCAACATGGAATACATATATTCTTGATTGGAATGATTACATGGTTATATAATTGTAGATTGTTGCATGTATACATTCATATGCACTTAGGTGGGGAGTAGCCTTTATAGGAAT